CCGTAGAGACCAAAAGTGCACATCCATGACCTCCAGCGTCTGCTCCCGATCGAAGCGTGATATAATTGTCCGCCCACTGCTGTCCGGCTTTTCCACGAGCTTCCTGTACTCCAACAAGTAGAAGCTGATCATCTTGAAATTGTAGACGAAGCCGTTGGAGCCGATGTTTTTTGGCTGCCCTCTGATGTCGGTTTAACTTACTCGACCTGGCCTCCGTCAGGGACATGGCGTTGTACGTGGCGATCTTAAATGAGACCTGAGAGGATCTTGCCTTCCTGTTGCTGGCCTTCGTGTCGTACAAACACTCCTTGAACTTACCCAATGTCTCAATTCTGCTGTGTTCTTGATGCGCAAGACGTGCTGGCATACAAAAGTCGAGTCCATCATCCGTAACCTTCGGGTAACATACGGCGTCTTCATGAGAATACCTGAGCCATGTCCATTCTAAGCCTGGCTGATAACGTAGGAGCCCTGCAAGCTGTGTATGATGTTCCCTTAAGTTGAACTTGAGGTTCGCCTTCGCAATGTTGTCAGCAAGGTGGTTCCAGCCATCTTCATCGTGTGATTTAGTGTATCGGAAATCCACATGGCACCTGTGCTGTACTTCTTGCGTTAAAATCGACAGAAAGGCTGCTAGTTCTTCATTGGGTTTATACCCATGTAGTCTATGCACAACCCCGAGAGTGACTTTCGAATCTGATGTAATCGTCCACGTGATATCTCTGTAATGGCTCTCCTGTAATACGTATACCAGTGCCCAGACCATGGCGACCATCTCAGAAGTGGTGCTGTCTAGGTTGCCATCCTCAGAAACTAGAAGTGAGCTGCCAAGAGTACGCGATGATAGAAATCCTTGATAGAAGCAGTCCGTCCCATCTCCAAGTCCGACCACCACAGCCCACCCATCACAGGTGGGGTCAGACTCTTTGTGGGAGCCGTCCGTCCAAAGGTGCCCCGAGATTGTCCCCGATTCTGGCACCCCTGGTCGCCCTGCAACCACACGCAGTGGAGACTTGGCCATGTCCGATAGTTCAACTCGTGATAGATCATGAGCAAGTCGTACTGGGTAGTCCAGCTGGCCGATTACCTCCAAGAAAGTTCTTGGAATCTCCACCTCGCACCGTTTGTGTCGTGACGGTTGGGAGACGGAACCTAGAAATTGACGATGTTGTGTATGTGCAGATGCAGCTGGTCCTTGAGGGTGAGCCTGATGGCGTAAGACCTCATGTGCTGACGAGCCGCCCTGCGTGGTCGACACCTGTCCTTCCAAGCCAGGAGGGGGAGGAATGGACAGAGCTGACCTTGAGATAGGTGCCGAAGGATGAGGATCTCCACCTCCTGAAGAAGCGTGTTCCTGCAAATCCGCCGTGGTTTCCCTACGTACTTCTCGGCCCTCCTCGCCTAGAAAAAAATCAGTGTCGCGTGCACCCCGATCAGCATGACGATGAAATGGAATACCACCACAGCATTGCGACTGATCATAAGAATCTGTATTTGGGGATGCCGTTGTCAAAGAAGATGAGATGTGATTCGAGGCCGTTGGTGATGTCGTCGCGGATGTCCCACATTCCGTTGACGACGATGGCAAAATGCCCTGAATTCGAGTCTTTTGTGAGGCCCTCTTTGCAACTACCTCCGACGCGCGGTGGCCAGCCTTCCGCGTCGGAGTCTCCCACCTCACTTTTTTGACGAGCTCGATGCAGCTGATGGCTTGGACTGCGATGAAATCCGTGTGCGATCAGCTGGCTGTTCGAAACCATCTCCTCCCTCTCGCTCGCCCATACGTACTTTTGCCGGAGGCTGTCGACCCAATATACTTTCCCCACTGTCGGAAGTAGCTGCCTGGGGAGTACCCCCAGCTGGTGGTGTCCCAATCGCATGGTAAATTGGACCATCTAGCCCGATAGGTGTCATTGGCTGAGTCGGCGATATCTCTTGCAACTTGGCCTTCCGCTCGAAGAATGGCTTCATTGCCCCGTACTTGCCAGCTGGTACTTGATGAAAATGAAGAGGGCTGGCTCCGACATAGGGATCATCACTCTGACGCACTGGGGTATTTTGTTCTGCTGGGACCTGTGATGTAGCCGGTTCTGTCGGGGAAAGAGTAAACGATTGTGTCCTCTCTTCTTCTTCTGCTAGTTGTTCATCTCTGGAGAATGGGGTCGCCTGGCTTACCTGACTTTGCTGAAGGAGGGCTTGATCAACTTCCTCAGCAGATGGTAGTAGCGGCCCTGGAGACCTGGGGGGAGGAGGCTGCCCCTGGTGTCCCTGCATGGAGCTCTTGATAGCCTGGGCGATCTCCACTTGCTGGCGCTTGTTCTCCTCCCATGCTTGAAACTCCTGCGCGAACTCCTGCAAGTCGCGTACGTCCTCCGCTTCCGCCTGGGCATTCTGCTCTCGCGCGAATTCCTGCAACTGCCTTTCGTGCTCCTCCTTAGAAATTGATGCAAACATTGTTTGATGCTGTCGGTAGAGCCAATCATGATATGCTTGTTGATGCTGCACCAACATCTCCTGCTGCTGCTGTACCTGGAGCTGCTGCTGCTGCTGCTGCGGCTGCTGCTGCTGCTGCGGCTGCTGCAGAAACATCTGCTGCTGCTGCTGCTGCTGCTGTACCTGAAGCTGTCGCTGTCGCTCGGCTTCATGTTGTTGCTGCCTCTGCAGATCTTCTTGTGCTGCAGCCTGCTTGAGATATCCCATGCCAAGGATCTGCTGGTTCATGATGTTCTCGTGTTGCTGGATCTTGACCGACTGCTCAGTGACCAATCTTGTCAAGTGAGTCATCTGCTGCAGCATCTGTTCCATTGCGTCAGGAGGCCGCGGAGGCGGGGGTAGCACTCTTGGCCGCGCCCTGGTATTCTCCGCCTCTCCGCTGTCTTCCTCCATCTCCCGATCATCCTCAGCTTCCTCCTCTTCACGCTGACGTTGAAGGTCATTCATCAATACCTCTATCTGTGTACGTTTCCCTCGCAACTCTACCTCTGAATCCCGAAGCTTCTTGATATCCAAACCAATCTTTCGTAATTGACCGTCTATCTTCTCCAGGTCATGCTCCAATATCTTCTTCTGCTTATAAGACGGCCTCATGATGAGGAGGGTATATTTTATCATCGATACCTCCGTGATCTGCGTCGTCGCCGTCTCTTTTGCCTCCTTTGCTGCTGCGATCATCTTGAGGAGCCCGTTCATTCGGCGTAGCAACATAGCACGGTGCTCCTTGGCTGCTCCCTTATCCTCGGGTGGCCATGCAAATGATGGGTGGCCAACCGCGTCTTCTTGAGTGGCGATCGGGATCGTGTCATTCAGCTTGTCGAACCTATTGTTTTGCCCAGTACCATCCCTCTCCTTCGTTCTTGGTCGCGACTGGCTCCTTCCCGTCCTGCGAGTCTGCCTCCATGGTGTCTGTTCCTTCCATTGCCATGAGTTGCTTCCGCCACCACCCGCATATCCATTGCCCCCATTGCCGCTCCACTGTTGGTCGCGACGATTCATGCCCTGTTGTGCACTATGATGTTGTTCCAGTGTCCGCGCCGCCTCGATAACCCTGAGAAGGGTCCTGGCTGAGCTGCGGCGGGCCCGATCCCGCCTGTGCCAGCCCCCGTCCGACGGCGTGGCCAGCAATCTGGGCGGCGAAGCCGCCAGCGGGGTGACCCACTCGCGGTCCGCAGCGCAGCGCGGCCGCCGCGCCTCGAGAGCAGCAGGAGGGGTCGGCCTGGGGCCTCCCACCGCTCTATGGCGCACCGCGGCGCGCCGAGGCACGGCCGATGGGGGCGGGCCTCCGCTCGGAGGCTGGCCTCTCGGCCGAAATGCCTTTCCTCCTCCTCCTCCTCCTCCTCCTCCTCCTCCTCCTCCTCCTCCTCTTCTTCCCCGTTTCTCCACCCCGTCTCACCGATACGATGTGGGGGACTTTCGTATCGCACGATTTCGCTTAGTGACCGTTCTCTTCAGCAGTGGCGCGAACAAGCGTGCTGGTTCCGTTTGTGCGGAATTGTTGTCTTGCTTATTCCGTGCTTTGCTCTGCCGGGTTCATCCCAAAGCCCCCTGGAGGGGATGCGGATTACGCTTCACGGTTTAAAAATGTTGTCTGCGATTGTCTGTCTAGGGGGGCAGGTTTTGTCCGCCCTGGCCAGCGCGTGTTGCAGGCAGCGTGCTTGAATCAATCGGCGTCGCGATGGGAGGGGGGGGGGGGAAAAGAAAAAAAAAAAAAAAAAAAAAAAAAAATCCTGCTGCCATCCTTGTTCTCCTTGCGTCTTCCCCGTAATATCGTGTCGATCCTCTCGCGGCTGCTCCTGCATGTTATTCCTCCTCTCCAGGCTTGGCTGGGTTTGAGTGGCGGGCCCTGGGCCCCGCGTCTTCGGCAAAGGGGGGGAGTCTGATCACCTGCGGGTGCCCCGAGGCTCCTCGGCTCTGCCCGCGCGGCTCTGCCCGCGCTCTGGGTCTCGGCTCGAGAAGACAAAATGAAAATAGCAATACTGGTAGTTATAACAGCAATACCAATAGTAATGATAGAAAGAACTAGTATTATTGTACATACTACTACTATTACTAGTACTACTACTACTACTACTACTACTACTACTACTACTACTACTACTACTACTACTACTACTACTACGATCACTACTACTACTACTACTACTACTACTACTACTACTACTACTACTACTACTACTACTACTACTACTACTACTACTACTACTACTACTACTACTACTACTACTACTACTACTACTACTACTACTACTACTACTACTACTACTTCTACTACGACTACTACTACTACTACTACTACTACTACTACTACTACTACTACTACTACTACGACAACTACTACTACTACTACTACTACTACTTCTACTACGACTACTACTACTACTACTACTACTACTACTACTACTACTACTACGACAACTCTTACCGTTGTTACTCTTACTTGTTTTGCATGCTTTCTTTATTTTTACACGAAGCGAAAAAAATGCGTACGCTGCGCTCCTGGTCTGGGCTCGAGCCGTCGATTCACACCTTGCCCGTGTCCGAAGAGCACGCATTCACGTTACCTTTTGCGGCGCCCATGGCGCCCGTTCTGACCAGCCTTTTGGTGGTCGCCGCTTCCTTCTCCCAGGCAGCCGCGATCGAACTGGACAATATCGCTGGGGATTTTTCCTTCGGGCCCATGCCATCCGACGCCCCCGTGTGGTGCAAGAACGAGACTGGGCTGACCTGGAAGCAGAGGAAGGAGCGCATGGAGCAGCACGCCACCCTCGAGTGGGCCAAGAAGCAGACTAAGCAACTCATCGAGCAGAACGAGACGGTTCCCGAGTGGATGGACAAGCTCGTCTCCGACGACGAGAAGAGGGGGAAAGCGAAGTGGGCCGCGCAAGAGGTCAAGCGCTTGAGAGCCGAGGGCAAGGACGTGCCCCAGTGGATGGCCGACCTCGAATCGGAAGACCTCAAGTGGGCAAACCGTTGGGCAGCGTGCAAGAGCGCTGAGTTGAGGGCCGCAAGCGAGGACGTGCCGGTCTGGATGGCCGAGAACGCCAGGAAGGGAATTCTGGAGGCTGCGCAGGAGAAGGCCGAAGAGCTCCAAGAGCAGCTCGAGGAGCTCGAGGAGGAGAAGGAGGAGGAGACGGCGCTGGTCAGCGCCGAGGGCGATGTCACCGTGGCCATCGGATAAGATAAGTCTGCATGAGCAAAAACTGTCGGAGGACTGCGCGGATTTCCTGGCTCAATCCGCGTGGCCCTCCGCAGAAGTTTTTGTCGTTGCGGGTTCTTCTTCTTCCAGGCCAACCAGAAGCTGCTGGCCAGGAGCAGGAGAGTGATCGGCACGACCCTGTCCCAGCAGACACATGTGCTCGAGGTGCGCCCGCGGGAGGTAGGCAAGTGGGGTGGGCAGGGGCGCGAGGAGCCGGTGCAGCAGGGGCGCTGGTCGAGGAATGTGCCCCAGAGGCTCCAGGCCCTGGGGGATGCCTTGCCTTACAAGGGCGGCGGCGAGATCCATGGCCAAGCCTCAATTGGTGCTCCGGCAGCTCTCGCACCCTGGATTCCCTCTCCGATGGTTCTTTATCGGGGGTGGACAGAACCCCCAACAGTGACACGTCGATTAGTGAATTGTCCGTTTTCGGTTCTCGAGAGAGCGCCACGGCCGTTATTTTCCAGGCTTGCGCCCGCCAGGTTTGGGCCCGAAGTCGTTTTCACTAAACCACGTTTTACTAAAGGGAGGTTTGTCCATCCCCGACTTTATACAATGCCCTCAGCGGAGGTAGGGAGGCGGGTGGAGGTGAGAGGGGCAGGGAGGCGACAGGAGGGAGGGGGGCAGCAGCAGCAGCAGCAGCAGCCCGGTCGAGGTGGCCCTGGAGGAGCTCGACATGGCCGAGGGCCAGCTCCGCCGCGACAGCACGGAGGCCGGGGAGGCCAAGAAGGTGAAGCAGGCCCTGTGGAAGGCGAAGGCCGCGTCCTCGCTGCTCCGGGACATCCTGGACAGCAAGGCGAGCCTGCTGAAGACGGGGGCTGCCTGAGCGCGGCCTCTCTTCTTCGTGCGCAGCCTTCTCACAGCTCACTCCATCGCCGCCGCCTCCGCCTCCGCCTCCCCCCGCTGTATCTTCCTGCCTCCCCCACGCGTGCAGCGCGCTCCGCTCGGCCAGGCGTGCTCTCCCGTCCAGTACGAGCCCCGCTCACAGAAACGTGCAGAGGGGTGCGCTCACACGCAGGTGGTGGGTTCGCGTATGCAGGGCCGTGCTCCGTGCCCCGACGAAGGACGTCGGCCGTGCTGATGAAAGAAACGTCAGGGGGCATACCACTGCGCATTCATCATGGTGGTGAAGCGAGGGTGATGGCACGCGGCTTTCCACCACGGTTGGCCACCCATCGGTTGCGAGGCCTTACATGTCTTATCCAGCGTCTTATGCAGCATCTCAGCACCCAGTATCCAGACAGTGAGGGCGACGGCTCCAGATGCACGCCCTCGCGTCCCGCTCCGCTCGCGCGGTTAGCAGGTAGCGTCGCTCGCCATGAAGAAAACGGGGTCTGAGGGAAACGGGTCCTGAGGTTGCTCGCCATGTTTGAGCTCCTGAAGTATTCCACTGGCCCAGGGACTGTCAGGAAACAACTCAGGACGAAGAATTGGTCTTGGAGGAAGGCCCCGGGATCCAGGACCCGTTTCTCACAGTACCGGTGTCCTTCATTCCGTTGATTGACAACGTGTTTGAGCCTTCAAGACCACCAATCGCCACCATGACCGCGCATCGAGGTCTCGCTGGTGGGAGCGCAGTGGCGGTTTGCACAGAGTGCGAGGAAGAGCGGGCGAGCGTTTCCCGAAACAGCGCTTGCGCTATAAGAGCTTCTTACATGGGTAATCAAAGTTCTGGCCAGGCTTCGGTTGCCCCTGTTGTGCCAGGGTTGCGGCAGTTGCCCATAGGGCCAACCGATATCGCGGCTCCTTTTGCCCGCGTGTGCGAGGCTTGCGGTGGTTGCCCAACACGGTCTCGCCCCTAGAGTTTCGGCCTTCGCTATTATTATAGATCTCTTCCGTATCAGGCATTCCGCATTCATGCATGTCGTGTCGTCCATATCTCCGGCATAGAGTGTTTCATCGACGCCTCCATCTTTTTGTTGGCCCCTCTGTGGCCAAGTACATTGTGACAGTCTCGAAGGTATACGTGTCTGGCAACATTGCGCTGGCCTGCAGCGAAGACGCCTGCCAGGCAGCGCATAGTTCACCCCATCTGCTGGCTTCCGAAGTTCGCGCAGGTGGAAAAGACGACGTACGATGTGCCGATGGGCATCGCACCGGAAGCGCCATCGGAGTCCCAGCCAAAAAAGATGTTTCCGTCGCAGCGCGGCTAAGGCAGTCCGCACGCGCGTCCGAGCGACACCGGGGCGCGGAATCGCGAAGCAGCCCGCATGCGAGAGGGGAGGGGAAGAGGAGGAGGCGGCCGCGGGAGGGGTCGAGGCGCGGGGGCGCGCTCACGCGGCGGGGCTGCGGTGGGTGCGTGGGCGCGGCCCGGCGGGGGGTCCAAGCGGGCAGCGGCTGCGGGTCGGCATCGCAGTGCACCCAGGGCGGGAGGCCAGGAGCCACAGCGCGGGCGTGGCCCAGCAGGGCGGAGAGCGAAGGCGGCGGCGGCGACAATGAGGAGGAGGAGGAAGAGGAGGAGGAGCCAGGGGAGGAGGAGGGGAAGAGTGGAAGAGAGGGGAAGAGTTTTGTAGCCATGTTGGCTCAAGTTCCAACGTGGCTCTCGACGTTGGAGCTTGTGCGCAGCCGAGGAGGCAGGCTCGAATGCCCCAAGTTTTCCACGACTTCGAACCCGCGGCGAGCTGCCCAAGCGGCCGTGGTCATCAGTCATGGCGTTTTACGTGGTCAGGGCGTGTGGTTAGGAAGTTTCCTGCTCCTGTTGCACGTGAGCTTCCTCCCGCTTCGGGAGCGCGTGGTCCAAACAGCCTTTTCCGCATCGGCTGATGGCCAGTTGGATGGAACGATCTGACAATAAGTTCCGAGATGTGCCTGGATGCTCCAGCCGGTCCCAGCGAGACAAGATGTTGCCTAGGAGAGCCATGTCAGCAGCAAGATTGGCCCAGACACCGCAGCAGACGCTAGCAGCGCCACGGCAGTAGAAGGCCCTCTTCTCGATTCTTGCAGGCTCAGAGGCACTTCGAGCGATCCAGAGCCGACGCCCAGCAGGCCATTGTGGCGTTGGTCGAAGCAGGCGGCGCTGTTGAGGACCCGCAGGACCAGTTCAATCGTGCACGCTCCGAGGCAGCAGTGGCTATAGCGGGGCATGGGCTGGTGGAGGCTGACCAACCGGCGGCGATCCACCAGGCGTTGGCGGGGGTGGTGGCTGCCATCTGCGCGGCCCGTTGCTTGCTGGGGTGGCCAACACCGCGGCGGCCATGTCAGCGCGAGATGGCAGCACGTGCGATCGCGCGGGGTGCAGCTGACCCGCGAGTCGAGCTCGCCGCCAAGCGCGCCCTCGCAAAGGAAAGGGCGGGTGCAGAGGCGAGCTTGCAGCACAGGAAGGTGCGAGGCAGCCTCAGACCCAAGACCGATGGCAGGCAGACTGCGGGGGGGGGGCTCGGCACCTCCTGCTCTGGGAGGTGGCGCGCCGCCTCATCAGCGACGCCACCGCCGGGAGTTCCGGGGCCGGCTCGGAGGAGGGCAGAGTCACGTCGCGCTCATTGGCGGCGCGCGCGTCGACTGACGAGAGCAGGCCCTCACCTGAGATAGCGGCGACGCCACTGCGGCGCGCGTCGTCGGAGAGCGCCCCCATCGCCAGCACAGGCGCGGGAGGCGCGCCCCCGGGCGGCCCCGCGCCAGCAAATCGCCGGGCGCGAGGCGCCGCCGCCATCATCGATTGCCACGCCCATCTCGTGCCTTCGCGCGCATGCGACCTGGGGCGCGCAGGTGGCGGCGATCGCGCCGCAGAGCACATTTGCCCCATCGGCAGCGCTCGCTTCGACATCCAGGATCAGGCCCTCGCCCGAGATAGCGCAGTTACCTTCGCGGAGCGAGTCCTCGCAGAACGCCCCCTGCCCGCGCGGGCGGAGCCGGCGCGCCCACGACCGACCCCGCGCCGGCAAATCGCCTGAGGCGAAGAGCCGCCGACGTCCGTCGGGCACAGGTGCGCGCGCGAGTCGGGGAGGCCAAGCGAAGGCGATTAGTTTGCAAGGGGCCCATATCAGCTCGCGGGCGAGCACGAGGCTCAGTTCAGGGGCAAGTCCAAGACCGCCACGGCGTGGACCTCGCACACCTGCAACAGCACGGCCTGGACGAGCGCTCGATATTTCGTAGGCGACGAGACCGGCGCAGGCCGGGTCTTCCGGCAGGAGTCGCGTCGAGCCGCCACGAGATCCGCGGCGGCGAGAAGGCCACTTTCGGCAGGCTCGGCCGGAAGTCCAAGGCGGCGCTCTTGAGGGAGATGGAAGGAGGGCGTCTCTCGGGGAGCGCGCCAGCGGCCACGTGGCCCCGCGCTGGCCTCCGCGAGGCCCCTGTCCGCAGGCGCCCCTGGCCTTCTGTGCGAGCCAGCTGGACGTAGCTCAACGGTCTTGCCCATGGACGTTCATTGGCAGGTTCGGCCTGTCTCGTCGCGGGCGGGGGGGCGACCTGGACGACCAGAGCTTCCCGAAAGCCACGGGGCAGCCATTCATACTGCGAGGCGATTGGAACGCGCGAGGCCAGAAGTGTCGATCGGTCTCGGGTGGCCCGCTGCATCGGGGGCTTCGGCGGCCGTTCCTGGCCCGCGTGCGCGTGGAGGGCCAGACGCAGCGTCGAGCTGACACAGCTTGGACCACGTTTCGTAGCCATCTGGTTTTTCGCTCGGCGCGACGCAGCGCTGGAGACGGGGCGGCTGCGGCGCGGCCCCGCGCTGGGCGGCCAACCCCGCAGTCGCTGCGAAACCTTCGAACCCCCCCTTCCAGCTCCATCAAGCCCCCCGAGCAGCCCCCTTCTGGAGTCTCCTCTTCGGGCCGAGGCTTCCCGCGCAGGACGGGCAAACTCAGTTCGAGGCCGCTCAATGGGGATCGCGCCCCACGGAAATTCGCCCGACGAGCGCGAGAGTTTGCGGACTGGCAGAGGTTGATCGGTCCGCATTTCACAGCCACGCGCAGCCGGAAGCGCCAGCGCGCCACGGTCGCGGGCGCGGCGCTCGAGTTGCACATGAGCCGGCACCCCAAGGCCTCTCCTGAGTCAAGAGCGGCCACCCCCAAGGCCTCGCCTGAGTCGAGAGCGCGGCGCATCCATCGACTACAGCAGATGCAATGGACGGACAAATTCGACCCCGGGGCTCGAGAGACGCGCGCAGTTTGAGGTTTCAGATTTGGAATTGGTCGGGCGAGCTCAGACACGGCGACGCCCGGGACAAGTTTCGAGCCGACATCGGGGACCCCGCCCTGGGACAGGCGCTGGACCTGGATGCCCCCTCGAATTCAGGGGCCTAGAGTCGGGCCATGAGCCGGAGGGATCACGTCGCACGGCCCAGCATTCAAGAGTTGGAGCTCAAGCCGGCCAACGAGAAGATGCAAGTTTCACGGTTGCTAGAAGTTCTACATACGCATAGCGATAGATTGCAGTCGGAGGCGACGGTTGGCATCTGCACGCCCTCGCCCAGATAACCGATTGCTGGCTGGAAGGTTCTGGAAAATTATTTTGGCAGATCGACAGGCAGGTGGCGCGTCCATTCCAGCTCTGGAAGGTGGCCATCTGATTTCTTCAGGAACCCGACGGAGGGAAATGGCCGAGAGGCACCCTCAGGACGCGCACCAGGACGCCCAGCGAGGCACACAAGATAGGAGCGAAGCAGCGGGATCTAGAGCACCCACGGCCATGGCCCCACGTTGCGCAGGATGAGAGTTGCGAGCTGGCCGCGCGGGCTCAGCGCGCGGGGGCGGAGCGGGCTCGGCAACGCAGTCAGTCTTCCGGCGTCGGCTCTCCCGGACACGCAGGATGCGCGCGAGCGCGCCGGACACACGGGGATGTTAGCAGTGGGTAAGAGGCTCGGCGTTAACATGCGACGGCTGGCTCTCCTCCCCACGTTGCACTGCGGCCCGCGAGCGCCCCCAGCGCGGGCGTTCATGACGGGGGAGCGCATCGTGGGACATGGAATGATTGCATGTTGTGCCTGCGCAACCACGATGTTGAGGATATTCGCCATGGCCACCATCGATGGCGTCGTCGCCCTCAGCGCGTCAGCGAC